TTTTACCCATAGGGTTTCTTGTGGGAAAACAACGAATAAAGCTTGAATACGTAGAAGAACAGAGAAGAACGAATATAGAAAGTACGTCTTATCTGTACCGATGAAGCGTGAGGAATGAATAGGAATATGAGGATCAGGTATATGGGTTAATTTTGAATTTATATTTATATGATTAAAATCAGCACCTGGATGTGGACAATCAATTCTTAATAACCAATCGCCCACTGGACGTGGTGGATTTCCCCGTCTTCGACCAGCAGTTGTGTCTATTATACCAAGAACTGTGGTCGTATTTTCTGGTTTCATCAATTTGTGTTGACGTACTAATGCTTGACGAACACCAGATGCTTTTATTAATTCACCTATTGCTTGTGATAAATTATTAGTTGTTTTGGCTATTTTACATCTTTCCTTCTTGTCCCTCATTTTTATCTGAAATTTTAATCCAAAAGAAAAAAAATTTTTTATCTAAAATAAAAATTTTTATCTAAAACAAAAAAAAACTAAGTATCAAATAAGAAGAGATTACATGTTTTGAAGTAGAATTATATTATTTTTGTCGATAATATTCGAATATCACCGAATAATACTACATTCTCTGAGTTAGTTCAAAATTTGCACCTGAAAAAGAAAGAAAAATATCATTTTGTATGGTTGTAAAGCATGGACTTTTCATCTGATTGGCTTATAACTTCTATATGAAGTGAGCCTATTGACTTTGGTTTACATGTTTGGCTGTCGGACCTCTATGTTTCTTTGATTGGTTCTGATTCATATCAAATAAAAATCTACTCAGATGTCAGCTTCCAAATAAAATCTCATGTTCATTTTGTTAGGAAATGGCTGACAATAAGAATGACGAGAATTTATCAAGTTCAAGTGATGAAGATGATTCAACAACAAGTTCATCAAGTACATCAACTGATGATGATGACGATGATGATGATGAACAAATTGATGAAGAATCTGATGATAATTTAACAACATTAACTCCAAAACAAGCGAAACTCAAACAACATCAAAAAAAATATCCAATGTTATTAAACAAATTGAAGATTATGAACAACGTTTAACATTAAATATTTATACAGATAATGAAAAGAAAACATTTAAATATGAACGTGTTAAATTAAAACAACAATTAGATGCATTAAAAAAACATGAACGTCGTGTTAATTTACAAATTGATTTTATAACAACTAAAACAGAAATAAAAGGTTTAGAAGATGAAAAA